ATATAAATAGTTTTGTGAATACAACAAAAGTAAACAATAAAAGTTAAGATAGAATACAGAAAAATTATTTGCAATTTATGATATACTTGTAGAAATGCCATTACCTCTCTGCGTGTAATATGTATATAATCATATCATTAAACCTTAAGATTGATTAATGGATATGAAACATAGAAAAATTGTAAACAATATAAAATAAATTTATATGTTAAAAAATACCATCTAATTATCAAAAAACCAAATTAATAATTCGACAATTGACCTACATTATTTAGAATCTGATATCTTGATCAAAATACATGAACAACAATAAGGTACACTCAATTATTAATAAAAGGAAGTATTCAGAATACAAAAACTGAAAAAAAGAAAAAAATATAACAATTACACATTTTACATTGTATATTGAATAAAACATAATTGAAAGAATTAAATATGTTTTCAATATCTTTAACCATACTATATTTTTAAAAGTACCTTCATACATATTGTATGTATTTTGTGTTCAAAACAATTTTGAACTCAATAAAAACTAAAATACAAAGAAGTGAATTTCACTTTAGTTTACACTATATGAACTATTTCGTATATGTAGAGAATATGAAACATGTTGTCACACGTATTTCAGCATATTTCATTTTTGGAAAATATTGATGAAAAAGTCCTTTAAAAATATGTAAGTATTATATTCTTGACAAAATGTCAATTTATAATTTTTCCAATTTTTTACATTATTTCTTAAGTGAATAAGTTTAGTAGTCATTGAACACAGAAGATGAGAATATATGATTACAAAATACAGCAATTCAATAAAAAGGGATACAAGAGATACTTAAGAATATGTACTATAAACAATTTTTTCAATAGCATTGTCTAATATGTACGTAGTATTTTACTATAATCATGTTTTAATAATCCACAGTAAAAATACTTAAATGTCTATATACTGTCTCACATAAGTTTACATTAAACATTCTTGCTAAATATTTTCAAGCATTGAGCTTGAGCTTTTTCAATATTTCTTTTAAGCACTGTAGCAATTGTAACCATGGTTAAATCACTACACTTTCTAAAACAAACTGCATGCTCTGTGATGATAATAAGGTTTTAATGTAAAATACTGATTTGGAAAAATCATAATGTAACCAAAATATTATAAGTATCTTTCCAAGTTGTTAATTTTCGATATGCCATGAACATCTAGATATATGATAGTTTCAATGGTTACATAACATATACAAGTTCATCAATGTTTCTTTCTTTCTTTCTTTTTTTAATAGCATTTTTATTAAAAAACAATTTGTCCTTCAAAATTTTTGTAACGTTAACTATGACTATAGATTCATACTTTGACCTGTGTACTCAATGTTCTAATTTCGATCACTGTTGGATATAATTCATCTTCATTCAGAATTTTTGATATGTCCGAATTATTACACTCAATCCGTCCTTTGTGTAATAGGTGGAAATTCAGCATCATCTTTCAAACGGAACGAACCCGAACATTTTGGCGGACTCTCAGTCGCTGCTATCATCTCATGATACTTCTCTGACTCTATAAATTTATTTATGTATTTTAGTTATAATTATTTAAACTAATAATCATTTTAAGCGGATGTAACGATAAAGATGTATGAAATTGATATTCAATGATACATGACATATTTTTCATATTAAATCGCATTTGAATCCTTTAACATTTATTAACACAAAACTAAATATAATCGAAAAATATTTCAATTATCATTGTTTTTATTACTTTTTTTTATAATGTAGTAGAAACATTTGTTAATGATTGTTAACAGTTAAAAAAACTTATTAACATGAATTTAATAAAATATCTATGTTAATTGTTGCAAAATCCTATATCATAAGGTGTAAATAAGCAGATTCAAAATCACAAATTTAATGGAATTGAAAACTATTTAACTACAAAAGTATCATTCTACTTGTCAAACTCTTGTTAAGTAACTATTCTTGTTAAATAATTAAAAAAAGAAATACAAATTTATAGTGAACTTTCTTCGTTGTTTACTTTAAAAAGTATATTTCATCATCTTTACTTGCACTACATATTTCATCAATAATAACAATATATAAGAATATAATTATCATTACCTT